TGATTCGTCTTGAGGGTCAATATCAGTTTCAGGATCAGACGGTTCAGCTTCATTTGCTTTTGGCACATTTTCTTTCAATGAACCATTAGCATTTGGAATTGATTTATCATTGGCTTTTGGATTTTTTGCTTGGTCATCAGTATTAGGAGTTTCCTGTTCATCGTTTTGAACTGATGACTCTACTTCGTTACTTTTATTTGCTGGAATAATATTTTCATCCTCAACACCTTCATGTTCGGCTCGTTCAACACTATCTAAATTTTCATCTTCTAATATTTCTGATGTTTCACTAGATAAGCTTTTTTGTTCAACGCTTTTCGAGGAATCACTTTTAGTTTTTGCCTGTTTTAATTGACTTTCATCTGCTTCTATACTTTTATCTGGCATAATATCTATTTTCTTTTCGATTGATTTGTTTTTGTCTTCATCGTTACTTTTTATTTCTTTGGATACTTCTTCTCTTGTTATGGGATCCCTATGTGTCCTTTGTTCAGTTTTGGTATCACCATTAGTGTTCTCTTGAGCTGTATCATCGGATTCATCATTTTTATTTTCTGTCGCATGTTTATTCGAAGTATCTGTGTTATCTGAACTATTTGCATTTGATTCATTACCAAAATCATTTTCATTATTTTTTGGAATATTCGTTTCTGCAAGTTTTTCCATTTTATTGCCATGTTCTAATTCTTTTGATTTGGAATTATCTTCCTTTTTAATTGTGTCATTTTCATTTGGAGTTTCTTCGCCGTTTGTAGAATCTTTTTGGTTTTGTGGTTTACTGTTTTTATATAATGGATTTTCTATACTATCAGACCTAATATCTTGGCCATCTTTATTATCAGTTTTCTCTTCATTTGGTTTTTCCATTTTCTCTTTATCATTTTCAATTTCTTCAGATACTTCATTTCCGTTTACAGGGTCTTTGCGTTTTATACTTTTTTTCGCATTCACATTTTCATTACCCTTTTCTTTCGATTTATTTTCATTGTCCTTATCATCTCCATATTCATCGGATACATCTTCCCCAGTTACAGGATTTTTACGTCCATTTTGTTTCTTCAATTCATCAATTTTGGGATCTTTATCAGTGCTATTTTGAGATAGATCATCGGGTTCATTATTTTTATTTTCTGTTACTTGTTTATTCGAAGTGTCTAGGTTATCTGAATTATTATTATCTGATTCATCACTGGGGTCATGTTTATTATCTTTAGGAACATTCGTCTCTGCATGATTTTCTATTTTATTGCCATGTTCTAATTCTTTTGATTTGGAATCATCTTCCTTTTTTTTTGTGTCATTTTCATTTGGAGTTTCTTCGCCGTTGGTAGGATCTTTTTGGTTTTGTGGTTTACTGTTTTTATTTGATGGATTTTCTGTACTATCAGACCTAATGTCTTGTCCATTTATACTACCAGTTTTCTCTTCAATGGGTTTATCCTTATTTTCTTCATTGCTTTCAATTTCTTCAGATACTTCATTTCCGGTTTCAGGGTCTTTGCGTTTTATACGTTGTTTTAAATTATTTTTAGATTCTGGATCAATTTCTTTATTTTTCTGATCCATGTCAGTTTGAGTTGCATCGTTTTTATCTGTTATTGGTTTAGAAAAAGGCTCTTGGTTTTGAACATTATTTGCTAATATTAAATTTTGTGAATCTTGCGGTGTACTAATTTTTGTTGGCTTGGAATTTTCTTTGGATAAATTATCATTTTCTGTATTTATTTTTGATTTATCATTATCAACTATTGATGTTTGCTCTATTTTATCAACTGTATCAAGATTGACATTTGATTTGAATGGGTCTTCTATATTATCTGTATTTATATCATCATTAACCTTTTTTTTGTTTTCTTCTTTTCTTTTTTTGTCGTTTTCGTTCTCTTTTTCCAGTAGAATATTATGAATATAACATGCTTTTGAAACTTTCTCTCTATTTACCTCATTGTTTAAATTCGATGAAGATAATTTTCCTTCGTTGATTTTATTCATTGCATATAATGCAGAATCATCCATTTCTTTCGCTTCGGCTCTCAAATTATGTCCTACCGATAACATTTTGTAGTAAGAGGTTTTTTTCATACCGCCAATACCAGACTTATTGTTTGCTTTTTCTAAAATTTTTGATATGTATTGATTGGGATCATATCTTTTACTCAATAAGTAATCTATACGTTTAATGTTTTGATCATTTTTAAATTTATTTTTGTATTTATCATTTATTGGTATTACCTTATCACAAATATTTGAAGATGCATTAATCAAACTATTTGATAGATTTTCGTTGATTCCTTTCATTTGATCATAATATTTTTTAATTATTTCATTTTCTTCTTTTATTAAATTTTTATATTTTTTTGCCATTTGTATCGAATTTTTAGCTGAATATTGTATAGAATCAAAACTATTTTTTGTTTTTCTTAATGTTTCTAAACATTTATTTGATTCTTGACTTACGTGTAGATCTTTTTCTTTGATAAGATCTTCCCAAGGTAATAGTTGTATTTTTTCTTTTGGTTTTTTCGCGTTATTTTTTTCTGATTTCCCAATTGGTGTATTTATAGATTCTTTTTTATCATTTTCTGAATCAAGTACACTGTCTTTTATTAATGGATCTTTAGTATTAGAGTCTAAACTATCTTCTATAGAATCGTTGTTTACTTCATTAACTTGGCTAGGCTTTTTATCTTTGTTTTCAATGTCAGAATTTAATGGGGTGTTTTTGATCGAAGAATTGGAATTTGATTCGTCACCAATCGAATCTTTTTCTGTTTTTTCTTCTTCTCCATCAAGGTTTGGTTTAATATTTTTGTTTTCTGCATTGTAATTTAATGGTCCTATGAATGGAGAATCAGGTTCACCAGTCGTTTGATTTTTATCTTTAGATTCTGTTTCATTTTCTTTATTTTCAGATTTTATTGAATCCGTTTCATCATGATTTTCTATGCTCTCTTTTATTTCTTCCTGTGGGCTAGGTTTATCATCTGTTTGATTATTATCAGCTTTCTGTTCTTGACTATAAGTTAATTCTCCAGAATCTAAATGCCACTCATCCTCAAACTTCAGTTTCAATGCTTTTGCCGCTTCAACTGCATTTCTGAGATTTAATAATATATCTCCTTCTTTAATTTGGTTAATTGCATCATCTCCAAGCTTTTTAACTTGCTTTTTTACAAATTTTAGTGCGGCCATACCTTTAATAAAAATATCAAGAGTTTTCAAAGTGTCACTATCTATAGTTTTAGAATATTTATTTAATAAATTCCATACGGAAGAAAATTTTTTTTTAATATCTTTTTTATTATCGCTTTCTTTTAACATTTCATTGGTTACTGGTTGAAGAATTTCTTTAGTTTTTTTTTTTATATTATATCGATTACCAAATGATCTTATAACACGATTTATCAATGGATTTTTTTTGTTCAATGGTGTTTTCTGGACAGTTTCTAATTCATTATTCGCAAGTTCACTATCAATTTCGGTCATTAATACAGTCGACTTAAATCCGTCTTTAAATCGTGATGCAACATTTTGTATTAATTTTCTAACGGCTACAATATCGGTAGATGCACTATCCACTTGAGATTTAACATCAGTAACCAATTGATCGAGATTTGTTGTTGGTTCATGCAGTTTATTGTTTGTTGACAATTTCACATTTTGTACTTTTTCGTTAAAGCTTTTTATTGATTTATGACATCTTTCTGAAATTGTTTTCAAATTTTTTGGTTCAGTGGAATCAATTAGTTGTGTCCACTGCGCATCATCTGTGGCATCTTGAGAGTTTGGAAATGAAGTTCCATTCTTAAAACAGTAAAACATAGACATTTTAAATTACTTTTTTTTTTTGCATTTATGAACAAATATTAAAAATTCATGTGAAATGTGCAATAAGAAGGTTTTTTTTGTTTTTTAAGTTAAATTTTTGAAGATCAAAACAGTTTTTTATTTTTTATATAAACTTTTTCACTTATTGTTTACCTAGGAGATATTTTATTTTATTTTTTTTTATTGGTTTCAATAATCATCTATTAAGATTTATGTAAATCAATATACAGATAAATCAATAAAAATTAATAACATTTGAATATTCGAGTAAAAATGTTTACTGTTTTTTTTCAACCAACATTTTTTAAATTAGGGATTTATGTAAATTAACTAATATTAAACAGTAAAATATCTTCAGGGTTGAACCGAATAATTCAGCTAGTAGGACTACAAAATGTCAGATGATCAAATAATATTATTGTATTTTAATGTTCATCAATAGGTTAAATTATATTAAGGATATTTTTAAAAATATATTGATAATCAAAATACAAAGAAATTAAAGAAAAAAAGTACTTAACAATTTATACTGACTATTTTTATTATTAAAATATCATATTTCTACAAGTATTTTCTAAGCTTTAGATATTAGTTACTAAAACGCAGTTTCAGATACTTTTATGTTATATTATTTTTTTAATTCTCTCATAAAATTTCAAAGATAACGAAAGTTATTAAACTATTAAAATGCCTAATTTTGCTAATAGAGTAACTTGACGATGACAGGCGAACGGAGAAGAATTCAATCTAATATTGTTTTAATTTCCCTTCAAATCTTATCAGTACGTAGTATCCTAGGTAACGACTGTTTAACAATCATACCATGTTTCCTCAAGAGTAAAATTAATTTAAAGAACTATTAAAAAAATTTCTGATAATGATTATGAAAAACAACTTAATTCAACTACAAAATGATTTTATAGTTTCTTTTTTTTTTTATGTAATTATACACGATATATTTTGTTATCATAATATCATAGAATTCAAATTTATTTTAATGTTTTGGAAATAGTAACTTATCAAAATCGTGTAAATCCTAATACTGTAATTCTTAAATTAAGTATTAATCAAACATAGATTTCAAGATTATAATCGTAGTGGCTTTTTATTATTGACTTATACATTAATATGAAATTGATTATACTAAATAAATATAAGGAGTATTTTAATGATAATGGAAATTATTATTGGATTAACATATTATGGCATTTATTAAAAACTCAAAAAAACGTCATAAACACGTTTATCAAATTTAGTCTTTTAGTTTTCATAAAGAAGCGAATTATTTTCATCAAAGGTAACTTAACTTATAACAGAGGATATTTTTGAAATTTTAATGTTTTCATTGTATTGAATTGAACGTTAATATTAAGGAGATGCGTTATTGACTTTATGATTTTGTTTCTTCCTAACGGCTTGGCGATGTACGTTAAGTAATGTAGTTAAGTAGTTTAGAATTTTATATAAAAGATCCATGTAAAATATGTAATAACAATATCATGTTAACGATATTGTGTTATTCGGCAGTCGTACAACGACGTTTTGTTCCTAGACATCTTATGAAAGATACTGAGTATGTTGTAGCTATCGAAACGAAATATTGCTCACATCGTGAACCCACGTGGTCATCGGGTGACTAGTGGCACGCAAACCATAGTCCGAATGTCTAGCAGTAGTCTATACATTCTACTATGGGTTGGTGATTGTTTCCCGGTAATTTTGGGATAGGCGAATACAGGTATATTATATTGGTGTAGAATTTTTTAAAAATGTTCAATTTAGGAAATAGTTTTGAATTGTCACCATAAAGTATAGTTCGGCCGCCACTACTAGTGTGTAATCGATTCCGTGGGTGATAGCGAAAACCAACCCTTTGTCCAGGCTTATCACTAACTCAAAAACTAACCTATCACATGTACACTATATCTGGTGGGAATCTTTGAGCGTTTGCCTTGCACCCACGAATTAAGAATAACTGGATACTCAATGACCGATGATAAGAAGCCCTCGAATTGACTGTTCGATTGCAAAAGCCTGACAGCGCTGCGAGCGGATAAAATGAACACTCGGTGATAATATTTATCAACAATTGATAACGACATACAATTATATAGAACGTTATTTTGGATTCTGAAAGAGAAAATTATTTTAGATTCAAAAAAATAAAGAAATCATAATCACAATCATATTTCATAAAAGTTGAAAGAAATGTTGTCGGTAAGTAAATTTGTGTCCATCAACTTGTATATAATTGCCACTAATACGATGACAAGTACTAGGTTTACTTTACAAATGCTGTTTTGGTGTGTCACTCTGGGTCCCTCTAACGTAATTGTTAATATCGGATCGCTGGGCGTCCAGTATATTTCACTTAATTCGTGGTCACACGACTGTGACTCCAACAACACGACGATCTCGTGGACACAAGAAAGTATTCACTTAATATTATTATAATTATTAATATTTATCGGACGTGTCGGAAACACTTGGATGCACCTACCTGTATCGCGCAGATTAACGTCGTCGCCACGAGCAAACTCGACGACACGTTAGTGTACCACATATTCTCTGACAGTTGTCGTGCAATAATGCGGACGGCATAGACACGAAGTCTACTGAAAATCCGCGTAACGTATTGCACGTTATATATATATATGTACGGCGAGACGCGCTTGCCGTGCTGTAATAATTGTGCAGTACAATTAGTTAATTGTTATTGTCGGGCGAAACAATTATTGCGCCGATTGTTAATCGCATTATTCGGTGCGGACAATTTTCGCGCGAACCATTTGCGCGGCACCAACGTAACAACAAGAGAAACAAAGGACGGCGGGAACGGGAAAAAAAATAAAAAGAGGAAAGAATTAAAAAATTAAAAACCAACACCAGCAGTTGGCGCTGTTGTGTTGTTTCCCTGTTTTTCTTTCGCAGTATTTAAAACAACTATTGTGCGATCGCGCGTTGGGCTTGCAATCGATTGGGATATTTTCACGCGTGTGTTACGTAGGCAACGGATAGGTGAAACCGTTGACAAGCGGATCGGAATAGGGAGGAAGTAGATGTTGGACTCGTCGTCGCAACAAACGATACGTTGCGGAATGACCAATACTCGTTTCATCGTGTCCGAATCACATTTCAGTGATGAACTACGCGACGACGTGTTCTGTTGCGTCATGACATTGAACACGTTTCATGCTAAAACGTTCGTGGTCAGACGTCTGTACGTCTCGTTCTGGAGACCGTTTCCAATGCGTACATGCAAATCTAGAGTTTGAAATCGGACTGAACTGCGGGATGAATTCGTGAGAAAAATAAAAACAGTTACTCGCGTACGCAAACATCGCGACTTAAATTGCGCACGGTTTTGTGAAATGCAGGTTAACCTAACCACGCGGTGTTCATCGACTGACACATTTTTCGATTAATATTTATTCCTCGAACTTTTAACAAAACTCGAATAAGTAATATTTCCATAATAAATTACGATCGGGTTGAACCATCGGTTAAACTAGACGTCCGATGAAGGGAAATAAACAAACAAATGTTTTCCTAATATACAACTTTCGATTTTTCTATTAACAAACTCAAGAGCATAATCTTTACGATCAACGGTCGATGGTTTTTGTTTAAAAACTGACATTATATTGTTTTCATGGTGTAGGTATGTGTCAGTGGCATGGTGAAGAGTGTTTGCCTAATTCAATTGTGCCAGTCATAGAAATGTACGTTAGGGGTAGGTTCCAAAACTGGATACCAACAAATTCCTATTTTACTCATAGTACATATTAAAGTAACAATCACCGAATAGTATTTAAAATAATATGACAAAACTATTGATTAATATTATAGAGTGAACAGAAACACTGTTTAGGGGTAGCGTGTTATTCTTGTAAGGGTGGGTGGGTGTGGTGGTTTTATAAAATTGTGCCAAGGTCTGGATTTTGTCACCACGCCACTGGTACCTGCCTATACTTTGTACGAATTACGTCACATCAGCACTAAAATTGGATATGAAATGTTATTCCTCAAATCAATAAACTGGAATTGCATTTTTGCTACGGTTTAAAAATTACAGAATACTCGTATTGTACCATCGAATTTTTATTATTTATTTATTTTTAAGTGAACAGTATTATTGTATTGTCTCGAAATAATAATAAGTCTTACATACGTGTTTGGAGCATATAAGGTACCTACATCATTATACGATAAAATCACGGATTTATGTTCCAATGTTCCAATTTGACCTATACCTATATACGGTTTTTTTCTTAAAAATGTTGATGAATATTGCAGAATTTTGGCCGGTTTAATTTATAATAATAATAAGTAATAAAATGTATTACACAAACAAATTTAAAATAAAATGTATTATGCAATAACAAATCCTAGTATTTATTGAATATACTATCTTACCACCAATTAATAAAAATAAACCGGAGTATACCCAAAAATATGAACATTTTGATGGCGGCTAGATAACCGAAAACATCCCTATACACAAATATAAATTTATATACTCGTATATTTTCTATTTATAATATAGTGGATAATTTTCTCGGAAAACGCAATCGTATTTATGGAGATTCGAGTGCTAAGCCATCATCAAAATTACCATCGTCTCTTGTTTAAATGAAAAAGCTTACGTCGAGCTCTTGTCACCGATACAAATTATAACACAAGTTGAAAGTCGATATTTCAGAAAACGATTAGTCGAACATCGTTTCGCGATAGTTTTCGGCCCAGATTTCGGTTCATCGAATGCAACGAAACACGTGAGAACAATCATGACCTCTAACACGTGTTAATACGGGCTCGAATTTTTAATCGAAATTTTTATCCGTGTTTTATGTCATCAGAAGATTATAATAGCATTCATTTGTGTGTATGAGTGTGTGTGCGTGACGTGTACGCACAGAAATGCGCAAATCTTAACAGCGCAGGGTTTTCGCGTCATGTCGCGTCCGCAACAATGGGATTTGTAGAAACGCCAGTAAACCCCAATATCAGGACCAATAGGGTATATATGTGCTCTGACTTGTCTGCAATTTGGAGACGTCCAATATGTCTTCTATGCACTGTGTGTGTGTGTGTGTGTGTGTGTGTGTGTGTGTGTGTTCGGAAAGAACAGCCAAGATGTCTCCGACAATAATAGGGATTGAAACGTCATTTCACTCTTAATATATATATTTAGTCATATTCGAAAAGACTATTCAAAATCTTTTACATATAATATGTACTAGTCAGAAAAAGAGGAAGAAAAATAAACATCTGCCAGTCGAAATAACGCCCTCAGTTTTGTTTGTATACATACAACGAATACGCACGGCTAGTTTTGCGTTTTTTTTTTTTTTTTTTGTTAATTTTTTTTACATATTTCATACTACAAGAGCCGTCGTCTTACATACATGGTAAAATTGAAAAAAAAAATAATCTTATGATTTAAAACAAAATCGTTTGTATAGTAAGTAATTTATTAAAATACGTCATATTTATCACGTTATAATACATTAACACATATACGTATACAAATTCTTAGCGTTCGGTTACACAAAATAACTAAAACGGAACACCTCTTTTCACTATAGAACGATTTATCTCGCAGATAAACTACAGTTGTAATAATAATTTATTTAATTATTCAACGAGTCATTTCAATCAGAAATAAAATGATTGAATATATAAATTATATAAAATTTTAAAATCGTGTAAATATGTACAGACAAAACAAATTTTAAATTTAATTATTTATCGTACATGTAGTATATTATATTGATAACTAGTATTTATATGAACAGTATAAATGTAAAATATATTAATTTATAGTAAATTTATTTGTAACCATTGTAAAAACAAAAATATTAAATGTTATTGAATCAATTAAATTTGAACAAACGAAAAAATATAATAATCAAATATTTGAGTGATTAAACATAAATAAGAAAAACATGTGGTGCTTAAGGATTATATATTTAATACATTTGTTGTGTTATTTAATTAATCATAGGTCAAAATCGGTTAAAATTTGTATTTCCCTAAGTATCATAACATCCTATAAATACAAATACTTTTATTCTATTAAATGATCGAATTCTAACTATATTATAGCATACATATCATATATTTATCAAATTCTAGTATACAATAAGATCGATTGAATTAATAAATTTTCGTATAATATTTAACTGTCAAGTGATGTTATCAGTAAGTGTGTACACCGTGCAAAGAATATTACAGTCATGTAAAAATAACGCTTCGAGGAAACTCTGAAACGTTTCTAAGTAAATTCTATTGGAGGTCTAAAACCATTCCTTAAATGCAATATGCTATTTTGTTTGTAACAAAGCATAAACCATTATAGAACTATAAAAACTATTATATTACTTAGTTTTTCGGGAACATGACAGTAACGTGCTTCAAAAAATATTCTTAAGATGTTTATTCGGATTTCAAAATAATAGTTTTAAATTTTATGTTCTAGTTATACTTTTCCAAAGTTTTTTAGGAACATCTCCGTCATAATAATTATTTATATAGTATGTCCTACCCCGTTTTATTGTAATTATATAACGTAGTGTAATTTTACATGATTTTAAATAATTGTATTTAAGCTTACACAAATATTTAAAGTAAACATCCATAATTTATATTTAAAATAGAATAAATTTAAAGATAAATTTTGACCAGAGAATTGTAACTTTACTTACGAGTATTACTCTAATTTTATGTAAATAATACTATTAAAAATTACTGTAAAACTTATATCTGTAGTAGGTACTCATATATAATTTATAAAGCGTTTTATTATAATATAATATTTGTAATATTAGTTAAGTCATTTTCATTATATGTTGTGATAAAATATGAAATCTTATGTATACTAATTTTCTTACGGGCGTTATTCAATAAAAAAAAAAAAAATAAAAAAATAACAAAAATGAAGTGTTTCAGTCACCCAAGTTGACAGTATAAAATAAATAAATAGCAGTTTTTTCATGTTTTACATGTTCCAATTTAGGTGAAAAAAAAACTAATTTGTCTATAGATATATCTAAATATTAATTTTAAATTAATTAAATTACCAAGTCCTACATTTTTTAAGGTATTTTGCATAGTTGAAGTTAAAAATCAAAGATGGTATTAGTAGAAGGTATTGGAAAGTAAAACACATATAATTCGAAAGAATCAAAAATTTATAAAATTAAAATGTATTAAACTATAAGTCTTTAAAAAGAAAATGCCGTTGTTGAAATGAACAAGTGAATAAGTGAACAAAATAAATACGAATTACCCTAAAATCTTAAATAATTTACGCGAGAACGCGCTAGTCAGTGTAGCAATTTGATCAAGTCCATATTATATATTATATATCTTTATATATTATTTTATAATTATCTAAAATTGAAATATTTGGTAAATTATTGTTTTACTAAAACATGAATAATATTTTCATCATGATGTAAGCTTTTAAATGTATTTTACAACGTATTTATACACATATATGGAATTGTTTATTGACCGTTTAAATAATATTCAAGCATTTATGTTTTAAAAACCTTTCAATAATTATATTAAAATATAACATTATAATGTTACTAAGAAACTTAAATGTATGTATTACTGGAATATTTGTAAGAGTTCTTTGCACAGCGGGTGGTAAGTAGTAGATCATATTTTTTCCATCATAATAAATATATATTATATGAATGATCTAAAATGTTAATTATCATCAAACTAATGCCGCAAAAGTATAATTTGAAGAACATTAAAAAAAAATTAATATTTTACACCTAATCTAGATATAAAATAAAAAGGCCATTTTATTATACACTATTATTAAAATGGAAAAGAATTTTTTGCTTTTAATCGTACCGTAACGGGTGTTCATTTATTTTAAAAGCCATCAGTTCTTGATTAAAAATTGTTTATAATCTTACAATGCATGAATGTATGTATTTATATAATTTGGATTTGGAATTAATTATATTATTATAAGTAAACGCAGTACTTGCGAAAAATTGTCTTACGTTTAAAATCCACACAAGCGAAGAGTGTGTTTTTTAAATTAATATAAATCTTAATTATTATGACGAGTCATAAATCATACAAAACATTTTTTAACTAAAACAATATATATACATATAAAAATACGATAACGTATGCAATGACAGCTGATATTTGAACATAATCAGGAATAATATATCGTGTGCAATATAATAGATTAATATTATTAAAATTATTAAGTAATTTATGTTAAAAGCTTCATATGGCGTATTATACGACTGTTGTGATGGGTTTTAAGAGGATTGTAAGCCATGATTTTCTTTCCTTTACAATCACTCGCGCAATATAAGGATTTATACCTTTTCTATTTCCAACGTACCGATCGATATATTATATAGGTGATAAAGTTCTTGAAAACTGATTTGAATGCATCACAAAGTCTTCTTTAAATCGACTTTCCCCTTTTTTTGATTTTGTATCCCAACATTTCACAAAATAAGATTAAACAAATTGAAAACATAAAAATTAACAAAAATAAATTTTTGGGTATGTTAAGAATAAAATTTAAAAAATGTGAGAAAGTCAATCTAAAGAAGACTTTACGTCGAATTCAAATCAGTTTTCAAAATCTTTATTGTCTTGATAGATCGATCAGTACGTTAAAAATAGAAAACGTCTAAATTCTTATGTTACGCGTGTAATAGAAAAAAAAAGAAAATGGCTTGCAATCCCCTTAAGTAGATTCTTCGATTTTCGGTTTAGCTCACTGTATAGCTTATTAGTTTACCATATTATTATCGCTGTATGCAGTTAAAATATACCATTAAACAAATCATAAATTAAATTCGTCCTTTGTATTACAGTGTTGTGCATGACTTTTTATCGTATTTCGTCCTCAATCGAATGGTTGTGCATATATGAATAAAAAATAATTAAATAATTGAAAAAAAAAAAAGGAAATATTAATATTTTCCGACTAAAAACTATTATAGGTGATCTCTGATGGTGATTGTCCATAAATATTTTACAACTACTATTTATGTTCAAAACTTTTTTCAAATCAGACGGTTATGTGCAAGTACATTATTATTATATACAACTCTTCTTTCGACAAACGAAGCAAAATCATTACTCTGAAACAAATGAAAAACAATAGTATTAGTACCTTAATAAATTTTGTTTCAAAATGTCTATTTTATATACAGATACAGTTATATTGAAATTCATTCTGATATTAAAACGAAATAAGAACGTCAGAATTATTAAATAATGAGAATTCTTCGCACGTAGCGTACGTTAAGTCAATAAATATTTTTTTCCACCAGGGTACGTCGTATTGTTTTACGATTTGACCGTATAATACAATGTATACGTGTATTTTATTTTCGTCCAGCTAAATAGCATAGTTTACATACATATTGCAATCGATTTTGCGTACTCTTCGATTATATAAATAACATCTTGCCTCGTTTCAACCTATACATTTTTTTTTTTTTTTTTCATAATGTCATTAGTATATACGAGTACATTAAAAAACACCCGTAAGGAAAAATTAACCTTTTCCCGTCTGAGGAGATCTACTTACAATCGTTATTTCATTGGATATCGATAGGGAAAAATATTCGACCGCGAAACGATCTTCGTTGTATACGTAGGAAACGTTTTTCGTTTTCTCGTAGTTTTATACGATATTAGGTGTTTGGGAACATTTTGAACGCTCCAATATTATCGCATGGTAATAATTTAATATTTTTCCTTAGTTCTGCGATTCACAATTATCTTCTTTTCTCGACTTCACCTTGATCATAATTTTTTTCCTAATCATTTATTTCTCCAATAATTCAATTCTTCTCGCCTTAGTACTCTCCAAACGCACGAAGTCTTAAGCGACTTAAATCACATTATTTTCTCATGTCCTCTTTTTTTTCTGCGACTCATTATTCTGCAAACTCTTTTTTCTTGGTTATTCTTTTAATCATTCTTCTCAATTTTCGTTCTTCTTCCATCATCTTACTCGTCATTAATTTCATTCTTAACGAAGGTTTCCACGATAAATTATTTTAATTCTTTGTAAAATATCCCACCAATTGTCATGCAACAAAAAAAAAATTTTAATCGCTGTATTTTCACAAAAATCACAATTATCAAGCTATTATATATTTTGAATAAAAGCTATAAAAAATAAATATTATCGCAATGTAATAATAACATTAAACGTGTGTTTATTATTGCCATATCGTTTGGATGTAATCGGTTAAAAAGATTTATGACCTAATGTCATCTAGTAGTTAATAACGATCAAGCCTACACAAAATATCGTATAATAATATGTTCATCGCTCGTTTTAGTGATTTCCAACTCGAAAATAAATCAATTTAAATCAACCGTTTTGCTCACATCATTTATTTATTATTTCCTGTAGAATGCACGCGGACTGCATGCTTAGATAAACGGGTGTTTTTAGAAAGAATCGCATAATGGTCATTTATGAGGAAATTAAACTTTTATTTTTACTTCGTAAGATTTTCATTTTGAAAATGTACACATATGTACATACTAGTGATGGGTGATTCTTGAAAGTGAACCAATCTTTTGAAGGGCGATTGTAAACTCGGCCCTTTTTTTTTTTTCAGGTAAAAATAATTTAGGTGTAAACTCGGCCCAGATAAAAATGTACATATAATTTTCTTATAATATTTTTGAAAACAATTTAGCATTACCTAGAGGACACCACGAGGAGGTGATTCTTATTATCCTCCAAAAATTATTTTCATTGTCATATTATTATTCATAGTATGAAATTCGTTATATAATTAATGTAAAATGTATTTATGTAAAATTCTAAATGTAAAAAATCAAAAACTAGGTACAAGTAAAACTGTTGAGTAAAAATATAAGTGAAAAATTGTATCGTAATAATATATAAATCTATTTTTTTAAGTAAAAAGCCATGTGTTTAACGTATTCACTCACTGATATTATCTAATTTTCATATTTTATAAATGTTTTTTCTAAGAGTTCTCTTTTTTTTTTATTTTTGTATTTTGAAATTGAAATGGTGCATCTAGGCTATTGATTTTAATGTACGTTTCTGTTTGTAGTTCTTTTAATTTTGCAATGACGGTATATATATTGGGGTGAGTGGAATTGAAACTTGAATTAAAATGCGCATGAAATGATTCACATGCATTAGTTGGTAAACACGTATCAACCGATGCACAGGCCCACATATCAGATGGAAACATAGCATCTTCTCCTATGTAAGTATTGATTAAATAATCTGCAAATATTATCGAGCCGAGATTACAACCAACCTTTTTTTATTTCCTGAAATTTCCGGGCCGAGTTTACAATCTACCTAATTTATGGGCGTAGCCCGTTTCGCTCGGGTACCCGTTTCGCCCAGGTACCCGTTTTGCCCAAATTGTGTTTTTTTATAATTCCCATTTCCGCCAAAGTAGTTTAAATCAATTTAAAATTAAGTTGGCAATAGTTCAGTAAAATATTATATGCGAACGTCAAGAAGAAAGGCGCTAAAGTTTCTGATCTCTAAAAGACGACTATTATAAATCCTTTAGTAATAAAATTACAGGTAATTGAGATTGGAAAGAAAAGAAATATCGTTTATAAATAATAATATATAAAATCGATAGCAAATAACATAAGAAATTCAGTCGTTATCGAATTGAGATCGAGCAAAACCTATAAAGCGCATACCGAAAGCACACCGAAAAAATGAATTTATCAGCGCACTGCATCATCACCGTAACTTATCTTATCTTGTATAAAATAGGTACCTACTTATAGCTTATAAAAGTAATAGACAACAAAGATTATCTTTGATCGTGGTCAGTGTGTATACGCGACGTCGACGTGTAAACATAACACGCATTTTACTAAAATGGCTATGTTTTTAAAAACTAAAAGAGACAAAAATGTGGTAATGTTTAATAATTATAAATACAATTTTGGTTCAAATAATGTAAATACATGTGAGATTCCTTGGCGTTGTATAAAACGTTCGTGTTCTGCTACGTTATATACTTTTGGTTATTTCCAAACATTTTTGGAAAACAAAGAATATCTCCTCCTTGTGATGTTTTTTGGATAACGCTAAATGATCTCAAATATTAAAATATTAAAATATTATAATCATTGCCAACTTAATTTTAAAATGCTCTAAACTACTTTGGGTGAAACGGGTGCCCGGGCGAAACGGGTCCGGCCCTAATTTTTTACCTAGCATTTTCGGGGTCGAATTTACCACCAATAATGTAATCGCGGGCCCAGCTTACATTTGTCCCTTTTGAAACGATTTAAATCGGAATGAAAAGATCGATTCACTTTGTATGCAATTTCTTTTTTTAATCAATTGATGACATTTTTTGTATAGTTGCCTGTGATATAGCTAAAAATTAGATGATAATATTTGTACATAACATAATGACATAATCGACTTTAAAAAAATTGTCAAATACACCACTGTTACCAAACACATGTGCTATACGGGTGTCTATGTACAAAGAAAAAATCGTTATAATTTTGAACTGGCTTGAAGTCTCACTCCCATACGTTCGTTAGCACATTGGTAAAATGTTTTCGAACGTTCAATAATTTATAAACTATTGTAGCTTTAACGCAAGTTTTTTTTTCATTTTACACAAATACCTTACTCTCATGACTCGCATGACAGTTTAGGTAAAACTTACTTTGAGTCAGCAGAATAATAAAAGCATGCTGACTGTTCTACTCTAGAAAGAATTGAAATGACACCACTGGATTTTACATTTTCCACTTCATTTGGTTACTCGAATACGATTCCTATGATTTGAGTTTTATCTCAAAGTTTGATTTGCACTGCCGATCATCGTGCGCGAGCGCTCGCGCCTATTTTCAATGTCCGTTCGCTATACTATGTACCTCTTACATGCTATTATAAGGGTACGCATGGCGAGTGTAACTTAATTTGCAACGCTAGTCTTGGTGCAAACAAATATTGTGATAAAACAAAATAAATAAAAATAAAACAAAGAGTGAATTATATTTTATTTCTTCGTGATAAAAGCGATTTAAAACGCTACGCATGCGCACGCGCCAATTTCTACAGCCTTGGAAAAGTAACTGACAGTAAAAATGTTTTGAAAAATTGCAATCAGCATTGCGATCAGTGTCAGTGTGAACAGGTTAAGAAGTACCGCTAAATATTTCAGGGTTGGATGACTTTGTATTGAAATGGGGTTTTCGGTGAATTAAAGGGAGTACAAAAATACACAATTTTAGATAAATCTCAAATTTTTGACTCAGGTGGTACACGCATGTATGTAATACAATACATTTCTTTAAAATGTAATGGTATGTAACACAATTTTTAACATATTTGAAAAGAGTTTTTTTTATTAAATAATTTTTGTAAAATAGTTTTTTTCTTTTTACAAAATGAGCAACTGTGTAACACAATAGAAGTCGTTTATTGGGAACACTTTTGGACCAAAGTGAAATGTTTAAATTAACTTATTGCTTTTAAAAAACAATTGGTTTTTTTTATTATGAAATAAATGTGTAGTTCGCAAATAACTATCTACTGCAAAATAAAACAATATATATGCTAAGTAAAATATGCGTTTATCGTTGTCTGTTGTTTTGCGTCGAGTAACTTGGTGATCATGGTTTCATAAGAATAATGTTGCCTAAAGCCTTTTTTTTTCCGCACAGTGCAAGACTTCTCTCCTGAGAACACTTAGAACTTCTACAATTTCTTTACTTCATGAGGATGCCTCGCTTTGTTCTTCTTCATCGTCAGTGACATCGTGTTAAATTGTTTGAGAATTCATAACCGTATTACAGATCTTTTCTTCTGTTGGAACCTCTGCAACACCGAGGAGTGAGTCCACATTGACTCAGTCTACGTATACTTCTTCCAAAATTTCTCCACTGATTTTGATCGTAACGACATAAGATAAAGTACATTGTAATTACAATGCATTGGTTATCGCCAAATAATCGGAATTTTTCGACAACCTCGACCATTATCGTTTCAAATAACTGATGTGTTGTTTCAATAATCCGATTGATTTACCTACAATATTTTAATATACGGCCGATCCGTTCTTAGACATTTTGTTTCAATAACGCG